ATGACATTCACGTTGTTGTAATGATGATGATTGGAGTGTCCAATTGATATCGATGACCACTTACCATCTTTTATGTATAGTTACCGTCTTGTGAGTAACAGTATAAGCGTAAATATATGTTTTAAGTGTTATAAGATGTTTCTTTTTTTTACTTTCCGTATTTAATATATTTTTAGTTTGATATTTCCTAACTATTGACATTTTCCATACCAGGGTTTGAGCTGACTTCTCCAAAAGGATTTTAAATCACAATGGCATGTAGAGTTGTTTGAGAAAAAATATATTTTAATCAACAAGAATGAATATATAGGCTGTGATCAATCAATACTGATCAGACATATTTTGTTTGAAACCATGAAACAAAACTTACACATTTGCAGAGACAGGGTCCACCATACTTGTGTCCAGTAGGCCAGCATTTCTTTTCCTTTTTTTGTGGGGTTTGACATGCCTGAAAGTGCAATGCTTAATGCAATGTTAATTGTAACGTCTAAAATAGCTTAGAAATAAATAATGTTTATTGTTGTTGAAGTTCTTCAAACCTTTATTTGAAAAAGACAAACTGTTTTTAGTTGGAAAAATTACTGGCTTTACCATCAGATTTAATGAAAAATGCACCGCAATGTCATTTAATAGATGTGTTACTCAATTAGAACATCCCATACTTACTTAAGCCAGTTAAGTACTAGATGAGTTGACATGATTTTGATTGCTGAAAATTCCATCTTTCATTGTTTAGTATTTTGGCTGTGAAATATAAAACGATTGTCCAGGTAGCCCTAGGAGGATTAAACATTAAGGAGAGGGCACGCGAATAGGAATACACGTGTTGCGGTGAAGCCAGCTTTAGCAGAACACTAGAGGGGCACGCGGAGCCGTAGAGTGGCAAAAAGCCTCGGCTATAACATGGGAGAGATAGGGAAAAACGCGACGCGCGCTGTTTCGAATTAAAATTGCCGCTAAACTAAAACACTTGTGTTACTCACCGATGGCATTCTTAAAGTAAATTAAATTTCCTATCGAACAGTGTCAATCATTTCTATAAAAAATATTATTTATTATTTATTATTGAAGATCAAAGTTGAAAGAATTGACCTGGACTTTGAACATATGATTACTTTAATTACGTTTTTGAAAAAAATATGATGTATCTACACAAATTAACAATTTATTCGTGTTCCTTAAGAAATTCTCGAAATAAAAAATATATATTTACCTATATTTAAAAGTGGTATTTAGAAAAATAATTACAATAAAGTTTTTTTTTAATTTTTCCAGTTTATAAACAAGCTTACTAATAATAGGTTAAAATGAAAATTTTAATTCGGGTGATGAAATACATTTTAAATTTGCATTTTTCATAGTTTTCTCGATTTGTTAATATAATTATTTACTAGTTTTAAGTCATTTATGTGCTAGGCAGGTGATTTTAAATAGCCAAAGTTAAGAAAAAATGCAAAGCCGCTCTAACTTTTTTTACACCAACAGCCGTTACAATTAAATTACAATCATAAAAAGTAAAACAATTTCTTGGCAATCAAATTCTTGATTTTTTAAATATCATATTGAACTTTATTTGATCTGTTTACCTAAAGAAACTTCGAGTAAAAAGTGTAAATGTTCAACAATCATCGCGTCTTCTGACCGCCAAAGTGCGTTTATCATTCTTTTAAAGGATTAAAACTTATTTTATTTCTCTTTAAAAAAATAAAAACAAGGACAACGAATTCCAAAAAATAAGTCATCCTTGTGTAAATTACTCACCTTTGAACGTACTATTGGTTCATAAATATGACTTTCCTCTTAATAGGTTCCTAATATTACGGTTAGAATTTAACTTTTTAATTTTCTTAGCATGATGAAGTCTAATTTTTAAATAGTTAATTGATATTTCGATATTTCTGTTACCAAATCTTCCAGTAACGCATACAACGCACTAACGCAGTATGAGAGGGGGCGGGAGAGTAGCGCTGCCTCCCCCCCTCCCAAGTACGCTGGCTTCAACGAAACTACAGCGTGTCCTCTCCTTAATGTTTAATCCTCCTAGAGGTAGCCGCCGAGTGATTATAGTGCTCGCCTTCAATCTGAAGGATGCTTGTTTAATTCCAACCGAGATTGTTCCCGTACCCAGATGCCATTTGTTATTGGACCATCAACTAATGATGCCATAAAACAACAGGTTGACTAGTAACACTAGCAGGGTATAGACCGTTCCCTTACGGTACAAAAAAAATTTAAATTCCAAAGCCGTAGATGTACAAATAATAAGCAACATAAGCTCAAAATTCAAAACTAGAAAATGTGAGGTGTTATAATGCTTTCCAGACGGTGTACAAATATTTTTTTACATGAGTAACATCATTGACTATTGGATACTACAGGTAATATGTTATGTTAGGACTTAAATGTGATGTGTATATTCAACCATTGCCTATATCAACTACGCCTATTTTGATCGTAAAAACTAGCAACAACTTTCACATGAAGATGGAATGTCTATAGTTGTATCATAGTTATGGTTTGAACTAAGCTTACATTCAATTTACCTTCTGTATATTATTGAAGACTTATTTAAAGCTAAACTATTCACATAGTCAAAATATAAACACTAAAACTTACCAGTACTAGAGCAGCCATGATGTCTTCCTGGTCAGATTAGGTAAAATTTATGTTTAATGATTTTGAGACAAAACTATTATTTGCTGATATAAAAATTTATGCTTACTAAAAATTTTAATTTGTATTTCCTAGGCAACCATTTTATTCTACCAAAATATTAATTTTGTCTCTGTTTTTAATCTGGTATCTAAAATACTGATATATATAAGTACTAAATCTTTCATTCATATAGACCAGCAATGCATATATGCGACGACTGGTCACATTGAAATAGACTGACGTCGCATATTTGCGTCGGTATACCAATGTTATTAAAAAGCTTATATCTTCTAAATGGTCTATTTGAAGGCCCTGAATTCTCTGCAGTGGTCTAAAGGGATGTCTGTTGCACATCTGTGTCACTTGGTCTGTGGATATGATGATCGGTGACGTCATTTGATAGTTGGCAAACCGTTTATTACTTTACTTTATTACTTCACTGGCCCGTGGTCTGCGTGTTCTGCCAAGTGCTACCTGGTCTCATGTGTAAAAATGGATTCATCAGTCCATGGCGATGACCGCAGCGTCGCATATATGTGGCGATCAGTAGCGAACTTGTTAAAGCCAATAAAAATACCAAACAGGGTTAACAAAAATATGGGTAACTTTCATGGTTACAAATTCGTTCATATTTGTACCCAAATCTGTGCTCCAGACTAAAGATTTGTGGGGAACTCAAAATTTAAAAAAATCTGAAGTCTCATAGGTGTCAAAACAGTCGTATAAGAGCTTTTAACCATAATTAATTATGATTAGTTTTGTTGAGTTGAAACTCAGCCATACCAACCCCGACCTCAAAAGAAAAATTATTTGTACAAATAAAAAATGCCAAAACCAATTTCCTGTTGAGCAATATTCTATGGCCCTTTGTATATAAACCAAAAATTGCTGCGACTTTATATCTGAATTCTCTACTCTACAAAATGTGACCATTTTAAAATTAAATTTGAGGAATTTTTTTTACCAGAAAATTTTAAATCAACATTATTTAAAAACTGCGAATTGGGATTTTGGTTGTGTTTTCTTTTCTTGTTTTCTTAAAATATAACATTGACCACAAATACTGAACATGGTACTTTCAGTATTAATTTATGTTTTTAGCGAATTCCCCTATAGGGAAGAAGCAAAGATAGACCTGGGACCGATTTGCTTTTTCATTTTGATGTACCCAAAGGTTAAAAACCATATTTGTTAAAAAAATTTTTATATTTTTCCCAAAAACTATATTTAAGCTATTTTGGTTTATTTTAATTAAACTTGTGCAAAAGTGTAGACTTTGATAAACTTGAATGAGTTTGCGAACCAGTAAGATCGGGTCATAAAAACAGGGAATTATGGGGTCATTAGTTTTTCAGAATGTATTATTTCAAATTTTTGCGCTTAAAACATGAAAATAAATAATTTTTATAGATCTGAAAAAGCAAACAATTTTGTTATATTGAAGCATTTTTGTAAAATATTAAAGGTTACAGAAAATAATAACCTTTTAATTTAAAATTCCCATGCTTTCTTATGGGGATACAGAAAAATGGTGTAGTTTGCTTGTTTATGGATATATTTTTATTAAATTTCACAAATTTATTTATTTCATTTACACCATAAACATTTTATCAAAAAACACTTTTTCCCTCCTCCGTTCCTGCAAACCCAAGTACGGTACTTGTTAAATCTAATGTTATTCAAACAGGGCATAAATATGACTTGTTAATGGAAATATTTTACTTAAATCCAATCTGACAAATTGAAATTCGCTTAATCTGCAGGTTTGCTGTGGCGGGGTATTTGTTTTTTAAATGTTAGTTGTTTTTTTTAATATCAGGGTGTTTATTTAATTATTGTTATATGTTATCAAGTTATTTTTGTGTGTTGTTATTTGTTATTCCAGACATAACATCCGTCTTATCACGTTGTGACTCAGTATCACCAGTATTATTGTCGTATCACTTAAATGTTTATCACTTAAATGTTCATGATCTTATGTCCATGTGTGTGTAACATTTACCTTCATAGAAGCAAATAAAACATCTAGTACTGGCATGATGATTACTGATGTAGGTTTAAACTAGTTGTCCTACTGCATCGTTCAACATCGCATGAATACCAATTTTAATTTTACACAATTTTTTTGTATTTAAATGCAATGGTAAGGCTAAAATTCTATCAAATTTATATTGATTTATTTATGGAACCTAATAAATTCAGTTAAACAAATATTTAGTTTTTCTGCTTTGTTTTTATTATGGAATCCATTAGTAAACCATTGAAATAAAGCATTTGTTTGACAGAGAGTTGGGGAAAAGCTTCCAATCTAGATATTTTTAGTTTTGGAAATAATATTAAGGTTTTGAGATAAAATATACTTTATTGCATCTTTATACTTATTACAAAATAGAAAACAGTTTACAATGCTTTATAAAAATAAATGCTTACAGCACAATCATTGTATAACAACTTTACACACCTACATTAATTAACAAAACACTAATCTAATGCATTAAACAGCTTTAGTTTCAAACATTAAGTAGACAACAATGTACAGCGTTAGAGACTTATAGTCTTGGTCTTGTCAACAATCAAAGAGCAAAAATAAATAATTCTTTCGATTTAGAAAAACAAAACGTGTCATGGACAACAAACTAATAGTTCACATTCTTAAAAATACTGTAAGGGATTTTGAATCTATCAAGGGACAAATTATATTGCAACTGTTATAAATCATTAAAAATATTCATAACTCATGCCTCGACTTATTTCACAAATAAAGAAAAAGTCAATAGATTTTGTCTAGATAATATGGTAATATAATCTAAAGATATAACATTAACATTATTTATTTACTCTGCATTAAAAATATCGGAATGTTTTATTAAATGCAATATAATGTGACATTAGGCCCAATCCTAAGGATTCTGAATCTTTTTTACTTATGCAAACATGACTTTAAAACAAGTATACAATCAAGTATTTGAAAAATATTAAATGTTTTTAAGTCATAGTAATTATTGGAATGCATAAACAGCATATCAATAATTTAAAGGTTATTGGCACAGAATTAGGATAGCTTTAAGCGGTCTTCTTAAAGTAAAAGACTGAGTAGAACATGTATTATGAGTATGACTAGCAAAGAATTCATTGTAGAAGGATTAACACTACTCAATGAAAAGTCTAAAGTAACAAATATATTGAGAGAAACTCATTAGTCACAAATCAATATCTGTGGAAATAAAACAAGATGACCACTCAATAAGATGAATTTTTATAAAAAAAGTCAAAATTGGATAAAATACAGCTTATATTATACACAATTATACCTGTACAGTCAAATACATTTCTAGCAACAAAAAAAGACACAACCCTGATTTCGATGTAAATAAATATTAAAATATTTATCACACTAGGCTACATTGGTACAAGACTTGATCAGTCTACTAGAAAATCTTAATACATTACTTAGAATCTTATCACACCAACTTCGATGTCTTTGTATAGTTCTGGCGTCAAAAGTTCGTACTTTCCACTGGCGCTGAGGAAGTAAATCTTGTCTTCTATCGTGCTTGGGTTGAAGCCTTCCTTTTGCAGGTCTAATTTTTTCAGTTTATATGTTCCTATAAGAAATGAAATATAATGTATTATTTTTAGACGATAAATCAAAGTCAATATTCTTATTTACTAGAGTTGATGGAGTCACAAAAATTATAGATTTATAAAGATTGAAATTCCTGATCCTCGAGCGGAATTTGTTTAATACCTGGTTTTTTTCTGGACAAGATTTATTTGGGATGTTTAAGATCGCACCCGATGTTAGCTAATCGCTCCTGATATCATGGAAATTTTCAATCAATTTCGATACATTTTGCTTATGAAAATTATTGTAATTTCATCAAAATATTTAATTTTCATCAAGTATGTCATTTCCTAAAGGTAACAACAGTTTACTTGTTGCAGTTTTTCAGTCAATATCTTCTATTCTTTGACCTGTGTATTCACACCTTTATTTTTGTAAATCACCCTCTCCTGCACATCTTACCTAGCTAAAAGCAATAATGGGGGCGTACATGGTGACTCGGAGAACTATTGAGCTCATTGCCAGAGTTCCCTCAGGCAAAAACAACCTAAAATATTCTCGAGAGTGCCTTTTCAACTGAAACACATAACAGTATTTTTTTAATTACCTGTCATTTCCACTTCCTGCAGTAATCTTACAAAGACAGGCCTGGCGTAGACTGGCAGCGCTTTCTTTACTCCTTCGGCAAGAGAGGTCAAATCAAGGTCACAGTTAGGATCCAATATGGCCGCCATTCCAGCTCGCCCTTCACAACGAGGTATCTGAAACAAGTAAAAATTATTTTAGATATATATTTCAATAGAACTTTAATCTACTACTATTCATAAAATGTAAAAATATAATGCCACTTTTCCACATCATGTTTGTAAAAATTTATTTACTGTAAACCTTGACCATGTAGTTTCCACAACTACAATTTTATTCTACCTGATTCACGTTCTAATTGAGAATTTCAATTAAGACTTAATTTTTTCAATGTTTTACACTTAAGAGTTCAGTCAACAACAAACTAAAATTAAGAAGAGAAATCCCTATTTACCTCAATTCCATAAACAACGCAATCTTTGTAGTTCGAGATGTTGCTGACGAGGCCTTCCACTTCCGACGTTGAAACGTTTTCACCTTTCCATCTACACGTACAGAAATAAATTATTATATAATCTTAGCTTTAGAAAGTACTAGGAAAATTACATGCACAGCAGTAATAATTCCAAATGGTTATGCAATGTTACCATTTGACTTTGTATAGATGAAATAGTTTTATATATATTCAAATATATTGGTGTTTGTATTTAAGACTTAAATGAAAGAAGCTTGGTGAGATACTGAAGTAAGATTATTGGATAAAAATTAGTTGTAACATCAGCAGCATTATTGTTGAGAGAACACTAAACGTTTAAGGGAAGTTAGCCCTTAAAAGTTAATTTTTCTGGATAAACCGGGAATTAAACCAGCCAAAGTCCACCAAAGTCTTAGAATTAACCACTAGACTAGCAACACACCAAAACACTCATGATATAGACGACTAACTGCAAAATAAAAAGGAACATTCTCTTGTTAGTTAGCCAATGTCAGTAGTTAATTATCCACGTTCATCATAGCTATGAAAAAGAACTACTAAAATCTTTCAGGGGTATAAGCTACAGATACTTGTCCCCATTATCAATAACACTAGTCTATCTAAAGTCTGAGAATTAAACACTAGGCTAGCAACACCAACACTCCACACACAAAAATATAAACGTCCAACTGAAAAATTTAAAAAGCATTCACTTGTTAGTTTGCTTATGTGAGTAGTTGTTAATCTTTTGGGGTATAAGCTATAGCTACTTGTCCCCATTATTCCTGTTGTTTGATGGATGTAATTTACCTGAATGTATCTCCTGTTCTATCTTTGAAGTACAAGTATCCCCACTCATCCATAACCAAAAGGTCTCCTGCAAACATAGCAAATAATACAGTTAGAACAATGTTTTAAGTTTCTAAACTTGTAGGCTCATTTATACATAATTTATTTAAACTTAGTGTCTGAATATTGTTAAAAATGTAAGAGATTCAGTGACTAAAAATAGGTTTTACCTTTGGAAGGAAGACAAAGTTAGGGAGGTTTTGGTACAAAGCCATACCTTTTAAAACCTTATCACAAGAAATACAAAACTTGGCTATACAAAAATTGGAAAATTTCACTCACTGTCATTGACAACATTTTCAACCAAGGAAAGTATAGTGTAAACTGTTGTTTCTTGCACCAGAGTGTATTATTTTACAGGTAAGCCTGCTATCCTCACAGAAACATCCTGAAATCCTAATCCCCTGTACTTTTTGTCACATCCTTAACCTCAACGAGTTGTATAAGTTTGTTGAGACCAACAGTAAAACGAACAAGCAATGAATACAAACCTTGAAACCTTATAAGAAGCTAAATGCTATGGAGAATAGTCAGACTCGAAATTTGGTGGCGAAACGAGCTTCGTGCGGCCTCCGCTGACTGAATTTTTAACAAAGGCACTGCGCTTTTAATGAGGTTTGTATTCAATGGAAAAAGCCAGTACTAGGCCCTAAACACCAATGCGGTGTGATTTAAATCAATAACTTAAAGGCACGAGTGTTTGGACTGCTCTCTTAACTAAACCACTTCTTACACACTATAGCATTCACAAACTCACCTGAAATAAAAGCAGAGTCTCCTTTGTTGAAGACATCATGAACAATCTTCTTCTTTGACTCAGTCTCGTTTACATATCCCAAGAAAGCACGGGCTGGGTTGCTCGGGATGATCTTTCCAATAAACACTCCTGGTTCACCTGTAACAGAAGATTAGCAGTAATTATACAACATGTTTTTTATCTAGGCTATTATTTGTTACCGTTTCTCAACTATTAGCATATTTTTACTTTTTTCATTAAAACTATTTTTAGTAAGATTAATTATTTATTTTGAAACTTTAAACTTCTCCATATTAGTGTGTGTAAGTAAATTTGGTTTAAAGCAATTTTTAAAATCACGACAAAAAAGATTCACTTAAAAAACTAAATGTAATTAGATAACTCACCAGGCTGACAGGTCATACAGAGGCCGTCTTTGTTTCTCAAAGGTTCGCCAGTTTCTTGGTTTACTTTTATTATGGATATCGGGTAGACGGACGGCACCAGTCTTGACACAAAGCCAATTGCACCTTCTGTGTTGTCAATGTTAGCTGAAAACAATTATATTTTTTAAACCAAAAATAAATGTTATGTGTTAAACTTTAAGTTACTATGTGGGATAAGAGAAAGAGAAAGCAGGTCTACTTCTGAACATTGTAGCAAATGGATTATTATATTTGTTTTTGTTACCAATGACTTTAGAAAAAGGTACTTTCATCACAAATTTACGATGCATTAAAAAACTGGTAGAGGAAATGCTTTCACTTATGTGCCTATTTTTTTTAATCCCTACTCAAGCATGAAATTACGCTCTGTTGAGTAAGAACCAATTTTTAAATTTATTTTTATGGTGAGCCGGTGCTTAAGTCTATTTGCAGACTTACAGAACGATCTTGCTAAAAATATTTTGTCTATTGCAAAGTTCACACGATATCATGCTGATTTACTCCTAATTGTTTACCTATATTAGCATTTCCCTCCGTAGCACCGTAAAACTCCGCTACTTTGGGGATGTTGAACCTTTCAACAAACTCTCTCCATATCTGAGGCCTCAATCCGTTGCCAAAGATCATCCTCAGCTTGTGGTCCTTGTCCTCTGGTCTAGGTGGAGTCGACAGAAGATACCTACACATCTCCCCGATGTACTGGGCTACCTGCAGAATGTCATCATGTTAGTATCGCAATGTCCCACCTTCAATTCCTAGGACGCTAGGTTCTAGTCCGCAACTGTTTGTCACAATAGATCAGATTTCGATACGGTCTATTGTTGATTGGCGGGATTTGTACCCGGCACCTCGAGGACCGAAATTAGTAAACACTAAACAGCAATTACTACGGTAGGGCACAGCTGGTTTAGTGAATAGAGATGGTCTTTAGTCCAGAAGGCCTATGTTCGAATCCCGCCAATACCCAAAGCTAGTCTTCCATGCAATAATAATAACAAATCAATAAGGCATATGTCAGTATGTCCAACTACGAGGTTGAGTATCTCTTAAATGAGAACTGTCAATGTATTTAATATTTTGCTCCACAAAAGCCATATATTATCCACAGTTCATCGGTGTTAGGGGACAAAAAAGCCTTTTTAGCTGATGAATTGAAAGGCTGCTTTTTATTTTTGTTTCTTGACTTGGTGAGAGAATAGTTCACTTTACATAAATATAAATAATACTTTACGGACACTATATCAACCCAGGAGATATGTGATATTTAAAAACTAAAGAACTTTTCTATCTAGATAATCATCCGTAAAGTACTATAAGTAATAGGACTATTCCTTCCTACAGAACACATTCGTTACATTCAGTACATTTACTAATAATAAAAAGGGTAACAAGTAAAATATGCCAAAACAGCATAAATGAGGAATAGCAAGCAAAAAAAAAAAAAAACTAACAATAAAAAATTTCAAACTACAAAAATATCAACATTCTTGCAGCTGCAAACAATATAATATCTATTAACCAAATCCATTACATTACTGTAACTAACATACACATTTTAAAGCTAAAACTAATATACTGTGTAGAAAACCAGAATACTCTACCGTGCAGTTATACTTGACAATGTCAGCGAAGTAGTTTGAAGCAGAAAACTTATTGCGTATGACGACGGTGCTACCGTAGACTAGGGCTTGTCCAATAGCCATGGTCCCGCCTGCTGTGTGGTATAGAGGTAGAGGGGTGTAGTAGCGGTCCTTCACATCAAACCCTACTTGGTAGTGGATAGCTCCAGCTAGAAACACCAACCTGGGAAACATATTGTCAATCAGCTGTGGTTTAGAACTTGGTTTGCTGAAGTCTGATAACATTAGGGGTGTGCGATGCATCGAAAATGCATCGAAATTTCGATTCGATTCGATTCGATGCATCGAATCGCGATTCGATTCAGTGGTGGTCAAAAAACGATTCGATTCACGAGGGAGTCAGTATCCATATACGAAAAAACGCCTGCAGAAAGTCAATGCAATACCCGCAATACAGGAGCGCGTTGCTGTTGCGTTTCCTTTACGAAGGCGTTCTTATTTAATACATTCTTTGCATTAAATATAGCTTTAATTGTTTTATATTTTTTTTAGAGGTTTTGTTTTTTGTCTTGATGTAAGCAGTGTGTGAAATATTTTACTACTGTGAACCTAGCCAAAACAAGGTAGGTTACTCCAAAATCATTTTAAAAATAAGTCTGAAAAATTGTTACTTAATACTTAACTAGTAAGATCAATGTTATAGACTGATACATTTGGTATTTTTGTTAGGTGTCTGTCGGTCCCCGTCCCCGAATTTTTGTTGGGGCAAAAGAAAAAAAAGAATAATTTATTTCCAAAGAAACCCTCTTATATTATTATATCTATTACAGAGGAATTAAAATGTTCAAATGAGAATTAAAAATTAAGTTGGCTCACGACCTTTAATAAAGACACAACAGAGCAATTGCCGCACTGCCACTAGCCAGAGCCAGGTCTAGTCGTCTACTGATAAGAGTAACAAGACAAAAGCCGTGACGCAACACTAACAGTGCAAAGAAAACAAAGTCAAAAGAATAGAAAGACTATTTATCCAGACATACTAGTATAATCATTTATTGTTCATTCAATACCTAATTAAAAATATATTTTAGTATTTTACATAATAAATTATAAACAAAAGAAATATCTGATATAGTGAACAGATCTGTATCTTGGTTAAATAGGGTTAAAAAAATATATTTCTAAGATCCAATACAATATTTACAACTCACAAATTACATTGAATTAATTTCTTTGAAAATAATCTCTAACAGTTTTGTGTTTTTGAATAAAGAAATATATTTCTTTGTCTCTACTTCCTTGTTTCATCACTTGCATTTTGTCAGCAATTGAAGCAACTGGGTAGCAACCGGGTGGTGTAAGAGGGGAGGGGGAGGGTCTATGACCTTGAATTCACACATCGTTGCCCGGGCCTGGCTGGTGAGACTGATTCATTGTTTTTGTTGACATACTACTACCCTTCCTTAAGAGAAAAAGGCCCTGCTGTTCCAAAAACATTGAGGGTAGTTTAAAAACATTGACCTGTGTTGCCAAGGGCACTAGAAGATAGCATTTAACTTTCTTGTCTCTTGATTTAATATTATTTTAATCTTCTATATATTATTTAAGAGTTACTTTTCGGGTACCTAATTAGTTGTGATATTGTTTAGCTTCATTTTATGGATTTTTAATTCTTTTCATTCATTAGCTATCAAAATCAGTTGTTTTAGGATTTTAATCTCTTGCAGTACCTGTAGGTCTATACTACTGTATGACATGATATGCATTTTTTAGTCCTTATTAATTATACCATAAACAATGTTTGTATGTTATTTACTGTTTTTGAGTTTTATAGGAAATTAGTTTACACAATATCTTTTCTTCAATGAGTTCTCCACTTGACATGTTGCTTCTAGCCTATTACTATTTTATTTTTAGGCCCTATAAAAATAATGCCTATGTAAAGCTGTAGGCCTACTGATGCCAATAATAATTCTTTATTTATGATGATGTAACAAATAATGTAAGTGTGAGGTTATTATACTAAGGAGGTTAGGAGGCAGGGAATGAATGATACATGTTGCATGGTGGAAACATATTATTTTTATTTTCTTCTTGCTTGCAGTCCTGAAGCCGGTCCACAGGCCCTAAACTTGTGATATGTAAATTTATTTCTTAATGGTCTTTTTATATTAAGTTCCATTCAAATTTGTTGTAATTTAGCTACCGGTACCTATTTAGTTATTTAAACAGTTATTAAAATGGGAATGAATGTCTTGATAAAAAAAATATTTTCTTCTTTCTTGCAGTTGAGCCAATTCCAAGTAAAAATTATGAAATAGGCAAGTAAAGCAGCTCACTGGTATTTCCAGCAGTTATTCTAATACATATGATTGAAAATAAATATTTTTTCACCTAAAATTCATATGTAAGTATGAATAGGCCTAATACCACATCAACAAAAATTTGTATTACACAAATGTGATAAATTTTAATTATTGTTAATCCACTCAATTGACAATTATGAATAGAAAAATACCGTATTGCTTCGAATCGAGTTGCATCGAATCGAATCGAAAATCTTTTGAATCGAATCGTTGCTTCGAATCGAAAATTTTTTGCTGCTTCGCACACCCCTAGATAACATCCCCAAACATATTAAAATAAATAAACCGTATCAGCAATCTGGCACATACTTTTTCCCATTTGCTTGTCAACAACTTTTATCATGGGTAAGTCATGGGAACTATGATATTTTATAGGGAAAATACCAAAAGTCGCAATTTAGCTTTTGAGCGATAATTTTTACAGCAATAGAGCGGGGGTTGCACTATTTTTTTTTTAGAATTATAAAGACCATAACAGACAAATTTTAATCATTACCAGTTTTTATCCCATTCTATTGGGAAAATAACTTAAGTTTCAATGACTTTTGAACAGTAATTTTTACATTAAGGGGAATTGTACCATTTTGTTCAGAAGGACTAGGCCTAACTAGGACTAGGACTACCCATACTAACTACTATCAAAATCATTCGGGCCATTTTAGAGAAAATTAGATTTTTCCATTATTTTAAGGGGATAAAACCCCCATAAAAATCACCATTAAAAATCAATTTTCAACACACAAGGCCGGCCAACGACCAAACCAGAATGCTGGGTTTGATATTATGTAAATCTAAATGCTTCTTCTGTGTTTGTGTGTGAGGTAATTTTGACAACGGCAAGTGCAAGAAGATTATGTTTGAAAATTGATGAGTAAAGGATTTGAGAATAGGGTTTTAACCCTGAAACTAGTCATCCAGGACAAATATAGGATTGATTGACAACAGGTTAAAAATAGTAACATAGTATTTGTGTGTTTAGAAAACAATAAAATCTTGAATATTTTAAAATTTAGTGGAACATATTAAATATAAAAAAAACAAGCTTCATAGGAATGTATGCAAGTTTTAGTATGACTCAGTAATTAACTGTTATAAGTTCGTTATCATTCCACAGTTCACGAGTTTTCATAATTGGCTGACAATGATTACAATTCAAGAAGAGAAACCAGTTTATATCCAACACTTTATTAAAGGTCACCACTTCCTAACCAGCACAACAACAGTGCAAAACTGAAAAATTGGAAAGTAGAATTTAGCGAATAAAGAATAATGCATAAGAAAACTATTGTGATAAAAAAGTTTACTAGATACAATACTATTGAGTTAGTTAGCTTAGTTAGCAAATGAGTGGTTATATTAATGTTTGTTTTAAAAAAATACACCATACTGTAGTTGACATTACAGTTGACATTTAAGAGGACACAGGTTTTAAAGACTACAAAATAATGCTACAAGATTGCGCTTATGTTTAAATCCAAAATTCAATTTAGACACAATGGAATACTGGTTTTCGGTGTAAGACAAAACAAAAAATGAAAGATTGATTTTCCTGCAACATCCAAAAGTGAAATTAAACTCAGTGCTTTTATGTCCATATACAAAAAATATATATATATAATTTGAGCGAATAGTGTTTTTGGTCTCGGGTACATCAAAAGGAAAAATTAAATTGGTCCCGCATCTAGATTTTTGTGTGCCACCTACAGTAATAGCTTATTCCCTATTGGGAATTTTGCTTATAGAACACCAACGCATATAAATGGTGTGGTACACTCAACCTACCTGCAGTGCGTAATGTTTGCTGCCTTAGGTAGACCTGTGGTGCCTGAAGTGTAGATGTACAACAGTTTATCATTGAAGCCCACTTTGCTACTAGGGGTGGGTGTTGTGGAAGGGGTTGACTTCAGTACATCCTCTAGTTGAGTCTCTTCGCCCTCCTGAACAGTAGACACCGGCCGTGTTGACGGGCTCCAGTTGTAGCGACGCACATTGCCTATAGAAGAGGCCACCTCCTGAACAGCTGCAACATAAATGTTACGTTTGAGATTAGAAAAGTTATGGTTCTTCTCAAGAGCTCTGTTTTGATTGTTCAGAGCTTTGGTTGTTTGACTAATAAATCAATCAATCTTTGATAATTATTTAATAAAATTCTATGCATAAACTTAGCCATAACTATAAATATTATTAAAAAAAGAACTTTGCAGCAGTCGCAGGACGATGACGATATCTTAACAACCTGACATAAAGACAATAATGATGTTTACATAGCTGTAGGAGTTGATCTTAATTTTGACGCGATGGTGGGAGACAATGAAAATGTCCACATAACCGTAAGAGATGAACATGATTTTGTTTGTTGCAAACACGGGAGACGATGATAACGTTACCTCAAAAATACTGTATGTAAGGACATAAAGAGAGGAGATGGTGTAGTATAACCAATCCATTCAGCAAATTTCGTTAAACTATGAACAAATGGTATTGATATTAAGAATCGGTAATTGATTTTTCAGGTGCATCAGTATCGATATCAAATCTATCAGTTTTGGCATTGACACATCAGTAAAAACCGATGGTCATGCAATTTATATCAATAGTGTATACAAACAAACAATATTTTTTTTAGTACGGTACTTAAATTTTTTAAACAACAGACTTTTTTAAATGGTACTTTTCCTTCTTTAAAGTGAGATAGCAACAAGTAACAATGACCAAGATAAATAAAATGTACATAATGTTTTAATACTGATTCATACCATTGACTATACACTCATACTCAATTAAAATGGAAATACAAATTTTAAATAATTATTGGGGCAGTTTGTACATGCATAATTCATATTTTTTAGCGAATTTCCCTATAGGGAAGTATTTAGTGAATTTCCCTATAGGGAATTTAGCGAATTTCCCTATAGGGAAGTAGCTATTACCGTAGGTCTCATGGTAAGACCTGGGCGCGGGACCGATTTGCTTTTTCATTTTGATGTCCCCAGAGGCCAAAAACACTAATCGTTCAAATTCATATATATATATATTTATATATGTGTCCGTTAGCGCGATAACTCGAGCAAAAATGATCCGATTTCGATGAAATTTGGTATAAACGTGTAAACCTACGTTTATTCAAACGAGTTCGCGAACCAGCATGATCGGACTATGGGAACGGGGGTTTACGGGGGGTATTATGGGGTAAAAATAGGGTTTTCCCATTTTTGACCCTAAAAATAAAAAAGTTTGCAATTTCTTTTTAAACCGTTTTGTAGAGCTTAAAAAAATAAATAATTTAGTATATTGAAGCGCTGTTGTATGCCTAACGGTCACGGAGAAAATTAAAAAATAGTGTAATTTAAAATTCCCATGTTATTCTTATGGAGAAAATGAACATTGTTGTAGTTTACTTGTTTATGGATATATATTGATAAAATTTGGCAAATTTATTTATTTCATCCTATACTATTGACATATAGTCAAAAAACACTTTTTACCTTTCTCGTAGCAGCAAACCTAAGCACTCGTTAAATCTAATGTTATTTAAATAGGGGATAAAAATATGTCTTATTTATGGAAATATTTGAGCAAAAATGTAATAAGACGAGTTGAAATTCGCTTAGTCTGCAGGTTTGCTGCGGCGGGGGTATTATTTTCTTGGAATTATATTTTGCATTTCTATTTTTTGTCAAAATAAATAATGTTTTAGTATGTGTTTATTACGAGTACTGGTAATAAGAAAAACATTTAGTAGCACTTCAAACACATTCAATGCAGTGGTTGTATACAAGAAACAAAATAATCACACAGTTAATGAGTTTTTGAGTGCTATGTACAATTCTCATTTTTATTTCAAATTGGCCTACAGATTTAATAATTAATTACAGCTTTTGGAGGAATATTGACCTAAAGATAAAATAATTATTTACAGCCTATGGAGGAATTATCATGAAACAATAAAGTTTAAAAAATCTATTTAGATTGAAAGTTGTAATAGAATGTATGTAAAAAAATACTAAGCTGACATGTAGAAAGTAGTTAATCAAACAACTCAGCACAGAACATATTTACAGAGTTGATTGTGAAAACAAAGGTGGTAAATAATTTCTATTAGTCATCACAGTGATTAGCTAAACAGTGACTGGAAAGTTCTGAGAAACATGTTGTCTGGCATTACTCAGCATAACTGTACAAGACGTATCTCTCAGCAACTACAGACCAGCACAGTCCAGGCTAGCATGTATGAGTAATCATTGCAACTAAACTGAGTCTAGGGAACAATTCATCAATTTTTAACTGTAACTATTTACTGGTAATGTGTCTTGTATTACCACAGTAAATATTAAAATAATCAGCAACCATTTTAAAACTATTTGAAATTGCAAAATATAGATGAAATTGCCAGTCTTAAAAAATCTTAAAAAAAAATAGTAGTGTGAAAAACAATATTTATTGTGGTATGGTCAGTTAAAACTAATTTCAAGAAGAAAACATTTACATACCATGATCAAAGTGATGCCAAGTAATATTTAAGCAATGTTTTACCATGCAACTACAGTATATAATAGGCAAGCGAAAATATAGAATGACTAGCATAAGAGCGAAACGAATAATTGATGTTGGGCAATGTGGCTAAGTCATGTAGCATAATTATTCTGGACTGTTTATTTATGCAGTTGGAAAAATAAATTTATTAGTGTTGTAGTTACGAGACACTTGCGTACGGCTTTATAAGCTGTAAAATAACTAGGTATATGAACATACAAGTATTCTCTTAACAAAGATGCAATATGTATAGAATTAAAAGTATTTTCCATTTAATAGATTTTAGTAAACATTAATTGTGTTTTTAAATCACACAGCCTTAATTTTCATTACAATATTAACTCTTCATCGGTGACACCATAGAGTTTTCCCATTTGTTTTTATATAAAAATATGTGTTATTGCTGGCCGGCAGTTTTAGGAGTAACAGTATCTCACTTGCATCTTTCTAGGAACCGATTGAATATTATTTTGCTCTTACACCTCCCCCCCCCCCCCAAAACCCCATACTAATCAGTTGAAGCCTGAATAGTAAGGTAGCAAGGAGCCTGGCTCTATGAGTCGCAGATCGAGCGGCAGATTTCAGATAGTGTGGTTTTTTTGTGCTATGTATTTTAATAAATATATGTAAAGTAAAATATTTATAATATTACTTAAAAATATGTTAAAACTTTACAAATAGCCTATGTAAAGTTTTTAAAGATTTCATAGACAATTTTATTGATTGTACATGGTTTAATTAGGTATATATGAATAAAAAACATTGTCTAATGTTTCAATACCCAGAAAAATCTCTGTCTGTCACCAATCTTGTTTTAAAATCAAAGACACCCATGAAGGGTTAATTTTAACTACTTTCGTAGTTGCCATATAAGATATCAGACATATTTATTTCATGCTGTACTTGTTTCGAACCAATGACAGTTCATCATCAGGAGCATTTATTAATTTAACTAAAAATCACTTTGCACAATGCTTGTTAGATATTTATACACACGACGTAATGTATTGCAATGTGATTTTAATTTATAATAAATGCTGCTGAAGGTGAACTGTCATTGATTTGAAACATGTACAGCATGAAATAAATACATCTGATATCTTATATGGCAACTACGTAAGTAACTATTCATATTATAATTATTAATATTGTCGGTAGCTGTCAGGTTATCATGCGCCATGGCACATAGTTCCCGTTGCCCAGCTAATTTTGAATTGATGTCATCATTTCGTTACAGTCTTGGTTAGCTCAGGTTCAGGTATAAAAGGATGCAATTAAAAAGAGGCTTTACTGTAAACTTAGCAACAAACATAAAAAAGTCAATTACCTTCACTGAACACGGAGGAGTAGATGAAACACTTGCAGTTGGCCACATTGATGCTATGTGAGAGCGATGACTGGCGTAGGTTGGTGTTGATTAAAGCTGTCACAACTCCTATCTTGGACAGACCCAGCCAGAAACACACAAACTCCGGCCGATTGTCCATCATGAGGGCCACTGCGTCACCATTCACGAGTCCTTGCGACTTGAACACATTGGCTACTTTGTTGCTGAACTCCTCCACCTGACGTACATTAAATTAATTAAATAAAAGTATGATTAAGCCAAATAAACAGGTAGGGTAACTATACTAGGAGCAGCGAGAGTCTGAAGTTGGCGGAAGCCAATACCAATTAAAATATAATACTAATTAACTACTAATTAAATAACCACTAATTAAAATATACTAAACAATATTTTCAAATCAGCTGGTTAGATTTGGCAACACCGCACAGTCTTCATTGGCTCCTTCAAAGTCACGTGGTAAATAGGCTCCACCCTCAACTGCAGACTCTCGTGGACCGTACTGTAGTAAAAAAAATATATTTTTCTTACAGTCACCTGACAAAGTGGGCTTCATTGCACTGATTATAGTACAAGAATTTGTTAATTGATGAATCGTCTTCTTACTTTTGCTGCATTCTTTTTTTTTGCCCCACTTCAGTATTTTAACCAAACAACACAAAACACTGTGATTTTATTAGGCACGTAATACGTACGTACACTTGGAAATAGGTTGGCAACATTTTAAGATACTACGATTTCGATCAGCTGGTCCAGCATTTCCCATTTTGTTTAACGCTTGGATTTAACCTTACCTAAACACGTGTGTTATAGTGTTTGAAAGACTAATTTTTTTATATGCTTTATAGTAACTATAGGAAAAATACAATGTGTAACAAGAGTGCAAAGTGCCACTTTGCAACCATTATAAAAACGAGTTTGTAAAGGCTGTGTTGAGGGCAATAGGCCTAAAGCAAATTATATTAAAATTACAAAAGGAATCAAAATTAATAGGCTATAAATGAGGTGGTTTAGGCTTAATCTAATTTACCTCTAAAAATGTCCATTCGGTGTCTTCAAATATGAAACAGATATCGTTTGGTCTCTTCTCAACATGTTTGGCAAAAATGTCACCAATGTTCATATCTTTGGTTTTTAAAACTCGTACACTCCATAGGAACCTTATATACCTTTGCAGGGCTCTGAAAGACAAAAGTTCAGTTAGGTTCTTGAGAGGCATAAAACAAGACCTTAGATAATAGTAAGCTGTAGTTGGATAACAGATTCATGTAGAAGTAAATGGAAGGTAGATTTACATTATGACTTTCTTCTATATGATGTAACCAAACATCTAATTAAGTAGGCCTATTTAAATACTAATTTATTTAGGCTACCTATTTATCCCGAAGGTCTTGTAGGATGTTGAAATTATTCTATGCGCATTTCGCCGCTCAGTGTGGCATCTTCATGTGCATTAGCATGATTAATTCAACAACCCTTAAAATAAATTAACCGACAAATATAGGAAATTTTATAATTTTGGAACGTCTGGAATTTGTATTAATTATGAATGGATGTCTAAAGTTAATGCCAATGAACTTGAAAGCAGGTCACTGTTGGGTAAACAAAGATAAGTTATCAGATGAGGAGTTGTAGTGCAAAACACACGATAGCCTATTGATAAAAGGGTTCTCAATATTATCTTTTAAAGTACTAGACCAGAACAATATTTTTATCACAACTTAGAAGAATACCGGTAGGTAAAAAATAAAAACCTAATCCTAGATCAAATTAATTTAGGTACGGTAGGTAAGTAAGCATGCAAGTAGGCTAAGCAATACAATATAAAGAATAATTAGATTTCTGCCAAACATTAAAAAATTGTTCTCATAATTTAAGTTAGATATTTAATTAGGGTCTACAATATAGACGAATAAAGTTAGGCATAGAGGAAGTTAGATGCTAAGGACACCCTTAGTCTAAATGAGTTTGCAAACCACCAGCATGATCCAATGATAAAATTAAGGGTTTGGCGATAACTGAGGTAGGCTATACTTTTTTACACTACACCAAATTTTCAAACATTAAATATTTTTATCCCACACTGTTTGTTTCATCTTTAAATAGCAAAGAATTTGAAAAGCTACATTTTTGTCTCAAATCGGTGGCCAAAAACATTGAAGAGTATAATGGGCTTGATTTATCTTGTTATTTTGTGGGTTTTCATTGTTTTACTACCAATAGCAATTGTCTACAGCGCTTCCATATCTGTTGGCACAAACAACCGAATGAGTAATATTGATTATTCAATTGTTTAATTCAATATTTCGTTTGGTTAGTTAGGTTAGGTTAACCTTACCTAACTAACCGAAACGATATATCGATCGATATTTTCATTCGGTTGTTTGTGCCAACAGATATGGAAGTGTACCCACAATTGTCATCGATAAAAAAACTTGTTTTTATTTTAACGGACATTCCATTTTGTTTTATATGTTTAGAAACATTATCCATATCAATATAATATAATTTGTGAAGTGCACAAAGTGGGGATTCAAAAAATACTAAAGATACAAATTTTATTTTGTTGTGGAATTAAAAATTGCACTATAAGTTAACTTGGGCCTACTTCTTAACTTATCCTTAACCTAAAATTTAAACCAATGTTGTTATAATTGACTTAAAGAAATTTTAGCAGAACCTTGAGACATACTTTTCTAATTTCGTCTAGGAATTCACATGGAATTGCTTAAGAACTTTCACCGCGGTCTATACATTAGGCTTATGTAAAAAGGAATTGTGTACTTACGTCAAATCCCTTGGTAGGGTTTTGTAAATTATTTTCAACCATTTTATTCCTCCACCAGCAGCCAAAATGGCTACAATGGCGACAATTATCAACTCGAAGGCAATCATCCAACCAAAGAAATACCATATAGTAAAAGTTAATACTGTCAGGAGAAGAACCACTGCGACTATTTTGAAAACAACTATGAAGAAGTGACGTAGACGTGGACGCACGGGTAGAGCGTGAGCAGATGACACAGGAATGTCAACACAGCTGTTTGGTTTCTCTGTTTCACAGCCTTCTTGATCGTGGATGCCTTTCTCGATATCACAGCTCTGAAACAAGATTTCATATATTATGAAATTGTATTCATGTTTATTATTATTGATATATTATATCTAATAGAAAATCAATCATAGTTCAAAGAGTTTCTTGGTATAATATTTTATCTTTACATAACAAAGATGTATATTTTTAGAATCAACACTAACACTAACTTAGTATACGGTATTCTGTCAATCTGTTGATCAACAACTGGGGACTGGCCCACTGGCCCCTGGTATGATAACGTGGTTATTTATCAAACCGTTGACTGCGCTAGCATCCAAAATTCTGTCCTAGAAAACCTTGCACGTCTAAGTCGGTAATAAAGTATGTTTGGACACAGATAATAGACAATATTAATTAATGGTATATAGCCTGTGGTTTAAACAAATATTATAAATTTTATTATAATATTTACTTGGAGTTAGCGAAGACTGTGAATAGTTAAAGCCAAGTGTTAAAGTAGCCTAACTATGATGGGTAAATGTTAGTCTACTTCAATATTCTTTTTATTACTGTAACGTATTACATCGTACAACGAGTTTATTTGATTAGTAGGATAAACACCAATAGGCCTACGCAATTTTGTAATAAAATCATCACGAACCGTACACTTTTCTTTAAAGTTATACGCGACAATAAAATAACCAACAAAATGCTGTGGTGATTATACAGTTTTGGTAAAATTGTGAACTTGCGAGTTTGCTCTTGCCTCTAGATGAAAACGAGCGATGGAAATACATATTACATACAGTACCGTTTTCATAATTCCCAATTTAAGAGTTATTTTTTTTAATTAACTCTAGAACGAATTTAATTTCCATGCAAGTCAGCTCCAACTCGCAACCTCTAGCAATCAGTATCTAATGATGAAAAATAGTTTGCTTGCCAATAAAAATATGTTATGTCTGTTTTCTAAACGCCTCGAATGTCAGTTATTGTATATCCTCATTACTCAATTAAATGAGAAAACATCTTCACTTGGTTTTTTTCCAGCTCCATACTAACATCTCAATAATCCATCGATTTTATTTCTCAACTGCATAACCTTCAATAAATATACTAACACAATTATTTATATCTGATGAAGGAATAAATCAATGGATGGTTATTGTTTCAATTGCTATACAGTAATTAATTTGTAGGTCATGTCCTCACATAACAATAATTTACAAAATTAAAAGCGGTGTCGATAACAATATCGCGACTCGTCAAGTGAACGCCTTCAACTAAAGACGATGAGCTACCGCTACGCAGAAGTGTACGCTTTACACGTTTAAAATATGCAGGCGCTGCAAAAGCTACACGGGTGTATCGTGCGTGCTTGGCGGTACATATGGCAACTATAACCACACAGTTGTGTTGAAATCCACTAGATGTCGGGTAATATGAAATTTACCTTCAAACCCTTGAGTGGACATATAAAAACGTTATATTTGTGACACAATCCGTGTAAATACTTTAAGTTTGGTAAAAAAAACTGATAAATATAGATATTTACAATAGTTAATTAAGTTTTCAATTAATTTCATAACTTATTCGCGTTTCTTTCTTCGGATATAAGAAAGATGTCTCGCAAGGTCCTTTGATATTACATTTGGCCAGACTAGGCATTCCTGTTTTGCTCTTCCAGTCCAACCAAATGCGTTAATCGAAATATTGTGTACATCGCATGGGAATCGTGTGATGTACAATTTTTAAAGGCCTTTTGTTATCAGGAGGTCAACAAAAAACTAACAACTTATTTTGAAAATGAGTCACAATAAATTTACAGGACAACTTGATCATACCATCTACTAAACATTAATGTGATAGGCTACACTTGTCAACTCTTTGTATTGGTTATCCATTAGTGAATTTCCCATATAGGGAATGAGCTACAGCTGCAGTATTACCGAAGCAGAAGGTCTCATGGTAAGACCTGTCCTCGGGACCGAATTTATTTTTCGTTTTGAGGTCACCAGTGGCCAAATTCATCATCCGTTCAAATTCATATATGTATCCGTTAGCGAAACTCTTATTCTACACACAAATTGTTCTACAAAAATTACAAAAAGAACGTAAAATTATAAGAAACATTTTAGATCCAAAATTTGAATTACAGAATGATGCCACCCCAATGGCAGCAAACTTGGAGACTAAGTGAATTCCATTTACGTAGTTGGATCTTTCACAAAAATATTCCCCCAAAATAGTCAGATTTATTTCCACTTTAATTAACTCTAATTATAATGAGTACTTAGATTTGCTGCTATACAGGGAAGGTAAGAGAGTGTGATTTTAAATATTGATAGATTAGTATGAAATAAACAAATTATCAAATTAAATCTTACAATTTTCATAAACAAGGAACTAAAACAATTTATTTATTCACCATAAGAATAACATGGCAATTAAAAGTTTCAACTTTGGGAATATATTTCGTAACAGTTTAGCCACCATAACAACACTTCTTGGTATTACATTAGTTATTTTCTTTCAAATTGAATATTATTAAATTTAAATACATTCGTTCTAACAACACTAACTAAAAGTGATATTACGGTATCTGAAATTAAGGTATGTTGTTGAAAATAAGGTAATTGAATTGGGTAGTTTAAATTCAGGTATTTGATATTAAGGTAGTTGAAATTAGGGTAGTTGAAATTAAGGACACAGCTATTGCTTCCCACCAACACAACAATTTTATGGAAATTTGGCCAGAACATCACCAATACGAGCTTGATAGATTTAAATTTCAGAGACAAAAAGAATCTCCATTAAATAGCATTAGATTTTAGAAGTGCTTATGTTTACTGCTACGGGAAAATAAAAAGTGTTTTTGACCAAACCTTAAAGAATTAAAAAAATAAATTTGCCAAATCTGACCCACATACGAGTTTACTCATATCCATAAACACAAGGAAACTACAACTTTTTCTTGTCCTCCTTAACAATAACGTGGTCATTAAAATGTATTTTTTTCTCCTTTACCAAATTAATAAATTGTAGTACAACACTTCAATACACAATATTCTTTGGTTTTGAGCTTTGAATGATGGCTTAAATGAAAATTGGGTATTTGAGTTTGTTAAGAGGAAGAAATTAAAAATCTTGTTGAAAATTTCAAAACCCAAATAATAGCCCGTTCCCAGGACCCGATCTTGCTGTTGGACTCATTCAACTTTTCAAAAATTTAATAAAAACCGAACAAAAATATCTCGAGCTATCCCGTTTACGGACACACACACACCCATCTCTCTGTTTGTTGTAAAGCCTATAAACATAAGTGCGTGAAGCCCACACTTATGTCATCCACAAGGAATAGCCTATTATCGCAAGTAAGCGACATGTTGATAAGAAGAAACCTAAACCGGTTTCTTGAGAAATCATATGTTCATGTCGTATACTAATGTTAGCCTAATTGAATTGAAATGTTCTTGCATCATGCGTTTTTCTAATGTCTAAAACAAGTGTAAGCGACATGTGAAGACAGCGTGTCCCATGCGCATGCTCACCATGCTCGGCTGCGGTCCGTGTCTGGCGAGAAAGCATGACATGCATTAAACAACAAACAACAATCAACATGATAATGCTTATGTCGCAGGCTTTCCTGATGTAGCTGCTTGCTCACTCATAAATGAACATGAACACGATGATGTTATCAGTGTAGGGTTGATTTATTTGAATCCCAAATTCGCTATTGATATTAAAAATTGTCTAAGAAGACAGAAAGAGTAAAACAAGAAACAAGTTAGAGAAAAGTCAAATTAGTTCAACGCATGGGCGTAACAACGTGGATTTCAGTAAATATTATTTATAACCTAATATAAGTTTTTATAATATCCCAAATAGCCTAAGGTCCGAAGTGGGCAAGAGTTACGTCAATATCTTTGAACTAATTGTAATTCTCGGGCGTAGTATCAGTATTGAAGAAAGCTCAGTAGAGTCATCTTGTTTTATATTTCTAACTATAATAAAAATTAAATCCATTTTACAAGGCGTCGAGCCTTCCTATATCGGTGGCGTGGATTGGAGATTAGTTCAAGGCGAATGAATACACTCTACAGTGGTTATATTTTACGGGTTGGAAAAAGTTCTATGTAAAACTCAAACTCAGTTCAGAATAAATAGCAATCTAAAAAGAAGACCCCGCTATTTAATTACAAGTTACAAATTTTAAATACAAATTAAAAATTAATTATTTAATTTTTTATCTAAAGTTGAAACATATCAAAACAATAAACCACGGATTACAGCTTTAGTCAATGTGACAGATGTATTTATCTATACCCACACACCTTACTTTTAGCGTTGTAATAGACAATCGAACTTTACAAGTGCAATAAGATGAATATTGTTATTTTGACATATCCTCTCTAAGAGCCCGTGTCGAATCAGAGCCCAATAAAGTTTTACAATCTGTTGCCATTCGACCTTGAGGTTTGAATTAAAATTCTAGTGGCAAGAATTAACACCGGAGATCCTTAACACTTCTCGACCTTGACTGGGTAAGGTCCTTTCAGAGGAAGGGGCATTCCTGTAGTGTCTCGAATCGAAATCAAATTAGGAAAACGAGACACACAATACCTACAAATGTGATCGGAGTCATTAATCATATTTACCTTTACATATATTGGTCGAATAATAAAAGTTGATGTAAGACCGGAAGTAACAATACTGGTCGAAAACCAGCTGTAAACAAATTAGGGTGTTCCTGGATAATAAGGCTGTTGATATTATTGATCACAATCGAAGATTATGGCCATCAAGTTATTTACCTTTTAGGAATTATAAATGTATTAAGCAATGATGGTGATTCAGAATCGTAATTTATCTTTATCTAGGACGAATTACATAACTATACAGTTGATGGACTAATATAATACTCGTAAACGTATATTCATTCATCTATGGTTATACACTCCTCATAACTACCTTATCCAAATACCACGTGATTAACTGAATACGAGCATAGAGCATGTTATAACTTTACTACTAATAATAACTATACTATTGTCCGCACTAGTGA